CTGACAAATTCATATTTCCTTATATATTCATATAAACCGAAAGTACAAATTGAGAATATATTAAATTTAATTGAGCAAGGCAGCTCTCGAATTACATAGTTCAGCTGTCATGTCCAATAGCTCAGCGGTGTTCATCTGTTTAATCTTGCATTCGGAGGCTGGCGCTCCCGCCGCCGACTCCAGTCCCTTCCGTAAAACTCCCAGTGGCCAGCGTGGCTCGGGGAGCTCCCAGCTGGTTCACACCACGGTTCGGGAAGCTGGGGACCGCGCAGAATTGTTTCTGTGAATATAAACGTGGTGTTTCTTCCCGCAGACGAGCATGGAAGCCCAGCAGGGAAAGGGTTAAGAGGGAAGTGTTGGTCCACAAATGAAACTTGCGTCAGGCAGGGGTTCAGCGCAGCTGCTCCCAGCGTCTCGCTGTCAGATCAGGACAAATTCCCAGCATGGCCATTAAGGGTTTGGTGTGTAGGGTTAGAAAAATAGCAAGGGGTACTTGGGGAGTTGTCTTTACAGCCCTTGCACTGAAAATATTTTTTTTAGCGTTGAGGATGAATGTTGTTTTCGTTTTATAAATAACCGTGTATTAACAGAGCCCAATAATTAGGGGATAAAAATGGGGAAGGTTAATTAATTCTTCTCTGGCCAAACAGGAAAGTGCTGATGTTTAAGTGCCATAATATTGTTATTATTTCAGCTTTTAAAAGCCCCACTAATGAATCAAAAAGATGACTTTGAATTAGTTTGAGATTTGTATGGTGAAGCACACATAGATGCCTGTGTGAAGAAAAGAATACTAATGCAGTATACAAATAAATGTGTGCAGAATTAGTACAAAAGAATATAATTACTATAGATTAGGCTTAATTATCTTGATGTAAAATTGAGTATGATTATAACTTTGCATAACTGGAAACACTGAGAAATATTTTCATTGCCTCAAAACTTATTATGTTATGTAAGTGTATTGACATCGTGTTGTTATTCAGTTACAATTCATTCTACTTCCTAAGGAGACTTCAAAAGTATTTAAGCATTGGTATTTTTTTAGTATTAAGAAGTAAAAGATGGCTTTGTCAAGAAAATACTGGCAATCACCTTAAAAGGCATGTGTGGATCAGACTTGGCAAAATCAGGAGATTAAGTTTCCAGTTGCAATAGGGTTTTTTAATACTTGAGCCTTCAGTCGGAACCTCTTGTTCTGTCTGATGTTACTAAAAGGCTAAAACATTTTCAGGTTATTCTAAGAGAAATGCAACTGGGTGCTCCAGGAGTGGTCTTGTGTGCCATCTATTGGAACAAAGCAAAATAACCATTTAAGATGTCCTGCCTGGGCTTCGCTGTTGCTGTTTGCTGGTGTTTCCAATTCCTCCCATCTTCTGCTCAGCCGTGTTGCGAAGCTGGGCGAGAAGGCACCTGAGCAGGACGAGACATAGAAAGCTCGATGGAGCATGTCTCTCTTTGTCTAGTTGTAAGAAAGAAGCATTGTTTGAGGTTCCAGCGTTTCAAAAGAAGGGTGGAACACCCGCAAAACTTCCAAGCCAAAACGTTTTGATTTTCGTGCATTAGTCCAGGCAGTGGCACAAAGCACCAACCCCTCTCTCTCGGTAGGAGATCAAGGAGCTCAGCCCTCTGGAAATGGGAGCACTAAATGAGAGTGCCAAGGAGCATCAATTTGACAAATCTGTCCTGCCACACAAGGCTAGGGTGTGATGAAAAGATCATTTATACGTGTCATTTGGAAAGAAAACACTGATTATTTCAGGTGAACGGGATCGATCTGCGGAGTGCCAGCCATGAAGAAGCTATCACTGCACTGAGACAGACGCCCCAGAAGGTGCAGCTGGTCGTTTATAGAGATGAGGCACATTACAAAGATGAAGAAAATTTGGAGATTTTCTACATAGATATCCAGAAGAAAACGGGCCGAGGACTAGGGCTCAGCATAGCTGGGAAACGGTAAGGGCGACTCTCTGATCAGACTGATTTGCCTTTTGCCATATGAACAACTGTAGCCATTAAAGCAAATAGGAAGTGAAGGAAAACCTCTGTAAGGAACAGAATCTTGGTTCTACGTATCTTCAAGGATGCCACGGGGCTGTGTTCCTGGCTCCTTTTGTCAGGACGACCATGTGTGTGTGCAGTAAAGGCTGCTGCTGCCCGGGAGAGCTCCCAGCAGGCGCCGGAGAGGGGAGGGTGCGTGGGTGAAGAGCCAGGAACTCGCTGCTCTGGCCTTGGAAGCCCTGGCCACGGCTCTTTCTGATTTCAAAGTGCGGGGAGAAACCTTCCTATTTCCAAATGCCAAGGTATGGCTTTTAAAATGGGTTTGTGAGTTAGGTCTCGCTCGCCCTCGGGTTCAAAAGGACCGATGTCAGTGGAAGAGAAGAAGCTGACTTAGACTCAACTCCTGAACGATATCAAAGTGACTGCAGACAGCAGTTCTGGGAGTACAGAGCAGAATCTGAGACACAGTGGTGGGTAAAAGCTGCTTAATAAAACGTAGCTTTTTCCTGATGTAGTTCTAAACCTTTGCTATTAGACCATTTGAACCGGGGCACTGAGAGATTTAATATTTCATTGCCAGAAGAGATTTACGACACGACACTGGCGAGCACCCATTCAGTGTCGCTACGTAGGAGTTGCTCTTCTGTATTGCCAAAAAAAAAAAAATATTTTCTCAATTGCAAATCATCATGTTGTTATCCTGGCTGCATATGGTCAGTAAAGTTTCCACCATGCGTGGTTTGTTGTGATTTTTTTTTTGCAAGAGTTTAACCCAGGTGTTGTGAGCAGATTGCAGGTTGGGTAATTAATTTACCTTATGTAAATTACCCTGCAGATGGTAATCGCAGTCTCCAGCCCTCCTGCATTCCTTCTGCGCAGAACTTTCTGTACTCTTGCAAAAAGCCGCGCTTGTGGGGATTCCCCACCTTAGAGGGAGCCCAGTTTCTCAAGTTGATTAAATGATATAATTCAGGTTGTGAATTCAGGGTTGAAGGACACCAAACGCCAAATCTTGGCGCCGCAGCCACCACCAGCCCCAGGAGCTGGGGTCAGCACGGAGAGATCTGCGGCATCGGGGAGAGCACTCCCCTGTGAAGAGGCTGGAGGTGATAAATAAATATATTCCCCTCGTCCTGCTGCTCTCGCAAGCCTCGCTGCGGGCGGAGAGCCGCAAAACTCGTGTGCAAACTGTAAAAGTCTTTTCTGCAGGCTTCTCCCCGCTCTTCTGTTGGAGGCCTCCAGGCTTCCAGGAAAGAAACTGAGCTGAGGGGGAATACAATTAAAAAAAAAGAATATCCGAAGCTGCATAATTCATATCAGGCACATCAGGAGATAGTTTAACTCCATCTTAGACTGATCCTTGACTTTTTATTCATATGAGTGATATTTTTCAGGAATCTTTATGGATCATACAGTCAGAACTTACAGTTCAAGGGGAGAGACAGCATTAAATACAGCTAAATATGCCTTGGTTTTAAAACTCAGAGATTTTTTTACACTCAGGTGGTTGAACGGGGTGTAAAACTAGTTCTTCCTCTGCTCACAGGTTTCTTTCAATGTCTCTTAAATGCAAGTAGTCTAAATTGGTCTCCCAAAGAATATTGGATTGTGTAATTAGCCATATGCTTCTTGCATTGTTAGAAATGGAAGTGGAGTGTTTATCTCTGACATTGTTAAAGGAGGAGCTGCAGACCTAGATGGAAGATTAATTCAAGGAGATCAGATTTTGTCTGTAAATGGAGAGGATATGAGAAATGCCTCACAAGAGACCGTTGCCACTATACTTAAGGTGAGTGCATAATACATTTTTAGATACTGAATTGCAGTTACTGACACTAGGCAGGGTAATTATCTTGAAATGCTATTTACACATGCACAGGACAGCTCACACTGATTGCCGAGACAGGAATTTCATCTGAAATTACTTTGGGAGATTCATTTCAAATCACTTCGCCCTGTATATTTAGAAGTGGGGTGATACGAAGTGGAAAAACAAAGGCACATGTAGTATTGAGCCATTTATTCAAAATTGCAACTGTGTGTTTCATGCATTAGAATCATATTCGGAAACCTGAGAGGCGTACAAATCAGAACTGAAATAAAATGCCTTTGGTTTTGCTGTATTGACCTGCAGCTATAAAACGGCAGCTTAAAGCTGTTCCTGTACAGCTTTCCGTCATACGGGAGCGATTTTATACTCTGGAGTTTTACAGTCTGGGAGAACTCCCTTGTCTTTTTCTATTATAAAAAGCATGTAGCTGCTTGAGTCGGAGGAGAGGGCAGGGGCCAGCCTGGTGTTAGCTCCGTCGTGCGGCTCCTGGGCCCAACAGCCCATCCCAAGGAGGAAGGGACGGGTAGGAACGACGCTGCAGACCCATTTCTATCCAAACCTGCACCTGAAGACAAGGGCTCGTTCCTTGCCACCACCACTAGTTTTTCTGCATGTGTTTTCTTTCCTTCTTGAAGGCAACAGCTAATTATTTCCTTGCTTTTTCCATTCGGGCTTGATACTTGGCCAAAAGTTTACCCATTTAAGAATTGAAAATTGACCATACAAGGGTATATTATTAAGTTGAATCCATATGTGTTAAATTCACCTTTTTCTGCAGCTGTAAAGTGTTTTTCATGACTATTGTTTGTGGCAAACGTCAGTTAAAGAGTTGGGGGCTTTTTGTTTATTTTTCCTGAGTAATTGGCCATCTACAGTTTACCAGAAGGAATATTCATACTGACTTCAGCCACCAGGATAAACCTTCAGGTTAAACCTAAATCTGGACACAGGCACTCTTTTTTTATTGTCTAAATACAAATGTTAATGTTTCGAGCATTCCTTGTGGTTTTCTTTACAGAGCTGTGGTGCTGAATATAAACATAATTCTCTGTGAAATATTTCATGTCTACTTCAATGTTGTTCATTGTGGGTTGGCTTTTTTTTCATTTTTTTCTTTTCTAAGTGTGCCCAAGGCTTAGTGCATCTTGAGCTTGGGAGATTGCGAGCTGGATCATGGCTGTCGTCACGGAAAACATCCCAAAACAGTCAGGTTAGTGACAAATTCATATGTATGACATGGATATGGGAAAGGCAGGGACAGTGCACAGCTGTGCATGTGAGGCTCCGTCCTTCCATAGACTCTTAACTGCTGAGGATGTGGAATGAAATATTTTATCACAATAATTTTCTGTACTGAACTGCAAAGTAAGTGTCGTGTTGAAATGCTGATTAAGTAGGAGAGCTAGTTAATGTGTTTTTTTTGTTTAAGGGGCGTCTTTCTGAGGCACATCAAAATATGTAATAGCTTTCTCAAATGATGATGCCCAGAATTTTTTTTTCAGACCTGCAAAAACACCAAATGTATTTTCTGCAGCTGTTTTGTCAATCAAAATGAGTTCATGAAACTGAAATGTATCTTTGCCTATCTTACGGCAGAGCCACATGAGAGCTGCTTTCCTCTCAAAGAAAACACAGAGCAATTTCCTGCTTCACTTGCTTTTTACCTGAAGCGAGGACAACAATTCAGTTTTCAATTTTCGCCTCTCCCCACGCCCCCCAATCAGCTCAGACACCGATACTGTTGAGGTCCAAGTATTACAAGGGAGAAAACCAAGGCGAGATGACTTAGAAAACTTTCTTTTAATGGATTTTCCTTTCCCGGACTGACTCTTTTGCCACGATATTTAAGTTGCGGCTGTCCCTGAGAGAGAGAAGCTGTGATTCACAGCGGTGCCATCACTAGGGAATATTTTGCCCCCTCCCTGCCCAGAGACAGGAGAGGCTGGTCACCGATGGGAGCCAGCCCACAAACGTTAAAAGAAGAGTTTGGGTTTGGAAACGGGGAGGAGGAGCTGTAGGAGGCTTAGGGGGGAACGTAAGTCCAAGCTGGAATGCTTTTAAGGAGGTCGGTAAGAGGGGAGGCTTGTCCCCGATGTCGTGCATGAGCAACCCAGGAAGGGTGCCAAAATCGTAGTCGTGATTTCTGAACTTTCTCAAGGCCAGCAGCAATCCAGCCTGCTGGCTGAGTGGGTGAGGTGTGAGGAAGGGCTGAGAGCCCGTAGCCGCGTGGGAACAGCTGGGCTAAGACCAGCTTTAAAAATAATGACTAAATACCACTGGAGAAACATCTGCACTGCATGAAGCAGGCAAGGAGAAATGAAACAGCAGAGGAGAACGGTACTGACTGCATTAAGTACAGGCAGCAGTCTGGAGTATTGCTTTTTTTTTCATCATATCAACAGCTAGTGTAAGCAAGAGCAATGTAATCAAAAAAGGGACAGGTAAAAATTGTCCACCTAATTTTACTGTATAAAACTCACAGAACCACAGAATGGCTGGGGTTGGAAGGGACCTCGAAAGATCGTGGCTGAAAGGGAAGCAAAACCTCGTAGTATGTTAACATGATTCTGGGTAGAAAATCAGATCAAACGATGTCATCCCCCTTTCTTCATAGTATAAGAGGCTTTTGCAGGAACCTAGTAATTTCTTTATTTCTTTTAATACAAGAAATCTTAATTGCTGTTCTTAACGCAGAGTCATTTGAGAGCCTTCATCTCACCGCTCCTAAGCAGCTTGGTAATTTTGAAAACTGAATAAATGTTTCTCTGCAAAACCCTTCCAAGAGTCATAAAAATATTGGCAGATCATCCAGCAAATCAGCTTGAATGATTTGCACAACTGCGAGCGACATTTCAGAAGCTGCTGGCCAAGAGCATCCAGAACTTTTGTCCTCGCTTGGCTTTTTTCTTGGTCTGTTGCGTACCTTGAGCGGTAGAAATAGAAGCCCTGTGGTACAGGACAGCGATTCCTTTCACGCGTATTAATGCAAATTACGTTAACTGACCCATGAATTGGCAACCAGAGGTGGAAATTGTGCTCTGCCTGTTGTTTGTCCCTGACAGCTGCACACTGGTCAGTGCAGATAAATGCTGCCAGAGCTTTTGATTCGCCGCCTAATGCGTTTAGTGGGAGAAAGCTTTGCCGCGGCCGCAGAAGTATAGGCTAGATCTTTGTTTTGCGTAAGGCAGCTTAGTTAAAAAGTCTGGCCCTCGGTGAAACCTGTTGTTCAGGCGCACTTCCTAAATTGATAATGGTGTCTCCTTGAAGGGCAGAGTCTGAAGATAAAACCAGATCTGGAGATAGGAGAAAAAGAGGGCTGGAAATGGACAGCAAAGAATCGGTAGCACTCCCAAGCAACTGCCTTCGGAGGCTTTCCCTTTTGTCTCCTGGCTTGTGATTCTGGAAGTAAGAGTAGGTTCTTGCTCAGCTGAAAGGAGCAGGATCTGAACAACGTGCCTGTGCACAGTTAGGTAGTACTGCAGGCAGTGCTGTGCGTGTGCCCGCAACTCGGGGACAAGTTTTGGTAGATCCCCCTTTGGAAATTGAGTTGGAGGGGTTTGCACATGCGTGACCAATGTGGTGTTTTCGAGCCGGTTGGCACAGAGCACAGCTGCACCCATGTGCTTCGGGAGCTGGTTTACAGTTAGGCTTTGGGTTTGACTCACAGGCTTGGATTTATTTTTCATTTCAGGCGAGCCAACAGAGCGTCCATAGCCACTTCCACCCAACGCTTGCTCCGGTCCTCTCTACCTTACAGAATTTTGTCAGCACAAAAAAATCTTCAGCAGACATGTCTCAGAGAAACTCAGGTATAATGTGGGCGGCTGTCAGAAGGGCTGTGTGCTATTTGCTTTATATTTGTGCTGGTTTAAAAGCCAAACTGAATACTTGAACATGGTTTTCCTACTCAGTCTCCCAGAAGACGTACCACTGATGTTTTAAGACCTAAACACTTTCCAGCAGATGACATTATTTTTATGTCTAATAGTAGAGCAATGACTCCTCTATTTTAAGTGCAGAATTCCTGCGCCTTGCTATTCCCCGATGCCACTGTCGAGGGCTTAGCGCAGGCAACGTTCTCGCACTAGAAACAGTTTTCTCAGGGAATAAAGCTGCCACCACTTCATTTATTTCTTTGTTGCTCTTGAGCAGCCTATAAAGGGGTGTTTTGTAACGAGAAACTCACGATGCCCAGTTTGCAGTTGGGGAGTTTGCAGTTTGTGGAGTTAGTAAGCACTAGATCTACGACCTGCGGTAGCTTGTGGAGAGCCTGGGCGCTCCCATGCTCTCAGAATTTGGTGACCTTTGCTCACGTCTGACCATGAGCAGAAGCAGAAGATGTTTCTTTTGCCAGTTTGCACGCACTGAAGGCGGTGTGGGGCTTTTTGTGCCATTTTGTGGCGCCCTGCAGCACGGGGAGCACGCATCTGCACACCCCGATTTGGTGTCCCCGGGACTGGGCTTCCCATGGCCACAGACCTGCCTTGGGTACTCGGGGCACACGTGTGTGGCGGTGAGAAATACTGATACATGCTATTAAGAATGAGAATCATAGAATTGCCAGGGCTGGAAGGGACCTTTAGAGGTCATCTGGTTCCAACCGCCTTGCCATGGGCAGGGACATCCCCCACTAGATCAGGCTGCCCAGAGCCCCATCCAGCCTGGCCTTAACAACTCCCAGAGATGGGGCTTCCACCCCCTCTCTGGGCAACCTGTGCCAGGGTCTCACCACCCTCATGGGGAAGAACTTCTTCCTACTTGTTAACCTTTTGGAAGAGACTAATTCTGCCTGCCTTCTAAAAGGTTCTTAAAATAATTTCATTAAATCTGATAGAATTAGTGGTTTGTATAGCAGAACCCGGCACCTGACACCACCATCAGTTTATTAGGCTGCTTAGTCCCAGTTCAAATGGTCCTTTTTTTCTTATTTTTTTCTAATATTTTGACTACTTTTGAATGTCCTATGGTCAGATACGCGCCAGCCAGACTTCCTGCCTGCCTATTATTTAGTAGTACAGCACAAATGAGAAGAGGGAGTCAATGAAACCTCAACAGTTTCAGGCGGGCAGTGTGCCTTACCTTTTGTGGTGGGGACGCTGTGATTTATGAGCAATAAGCTCATCTTTAATTGAGTGAAATGCACAGCAGGGCTTCTCTTCAGGCCGGCAGAGCGCTGCTATTCAATAGATGGCAAGGAGCAGTGGCCGCGCTACAATGGATGTCACGGCAGCATCCGTCAGCCAGAGCGGTTGCATCCGTCAGGCAGAGCAGTTGCATCCGTATTTTGGGTGAAACAGAAATCTCGTCCTCCTCACGTGAGCACCGCTGCCTGGTTTGGCACGGCAAGGCTCCGCTTCTGCTTGGTGATAACTCCCGGCTAGGCAGCCAGGGACCGTTGTCACCTCACAGTGTTATCACTCAATTATATTATCTCTTAATTACAGAAGCTAATTGTTTGTTTCTCTATTAGTAGGAGCAGATATGGGCCCAAGGACTGTGGAGATAACAAGGGTCAGTGAGTTATTTTCTATCAGTTCAAAAACCTGACACCTTTAACTGGAGTTGTTAATTTTTGTAGCATTTCTCAGAAGTAAAATTGCATTATTTATGTTTGCAATAAGTTGTTGGGTGTGCGCCTGTGTAATGGGACCTCCACGTGTGAAGATACATGTGCCTGTCAAACCTATTTTCTCCCTGTTCCCTAAATCAAAGGAGTCGGCTATTGCTGCACCCTGAACATTGACCTCTACGGGTTGCTACGGTTGCAAATGTTGTGTTGTTTTGCTGTGTTTTAGGGACCAAATGATGCACTTGGTATCAGTATAGCAGGAGGGAAGGGAAGTCCATTAGGAGATATCCCCATCTTCATTGCCATGATTCAAGCCAGCGGCGTGGCTGCACGGACCCAAAGACTCAGAGTGAGTAGTGGGCTCCTTTCAATATTTCCTCTTTCATGTGCCTTGTGTCCCACCGAGGAGGAACCTCAAGCTCTTCTATATGTGGCATCACTTTGAAAATGTCTCATAGACTACTCTGCTTCTTTTTATATAAAAAACAAAACAGCAAAAAAACACCCAACCGAAAACTAAACCTGCCCTCTTTTTAATTATATTGCGTCTTGGGGTCATGGCAGCTGTTCCCCGCATTGCAAGAGTGATGTTAAGAGACAGAACATCGATGCATTTGCAGTGGTCTTTGAATGTGTATGTCCATCCAGACCCAGGGAGGGCAGCAGCAGGCTCTCTGGATAAGCCCAGGCGTTCCGAGGACTGCACACTGAGCATCCTTTAGAGCTCAGTCCAGGTCGAAACCAGATTGGAAATTAGTTGTTTGGTCTTAAGGCCCTAATAAAGAAATACCAAAATAAGTCCCTTATATCAGACCCACAGGATATGTGGCTTTCCAGGAATGAAGGTGGTGAACGCTCTGTGTTTTGGGGAGAGTTTCAAGGAATCCTTAGTGTTGAACTTATTATGCAGATACGCTTTGGCCCAGGAAATTCATTAGTACATGCCCTTACATGTCTCTAATAGAATTACACAACAGCACGAAGTGCCGGGGTCAGGATCACTTTTATGTATTAGAAGAAGAAATCAGCTCGGTTAATTCGACTAATATCAGAAGTGCCTGCTGGCTTCCACCGCACTGAGCAGGGGCGTTCGTAGCCTGCAAGAATATGAACTCGTCTGCACGTACAGACGAATCCTCTCTGGGTGGAGCGAAAATCTCACTCTCTCTGCTTGCAAATGGAAACAGCCAAATGCAACCCACCTTTGTTTTCTCTGATCACATTGTTTTTTAAAAAATCCGTATTGTCCTTGCTCTGAAGAACGGTAAGTGATCACTAGCAATGCAGAGTTCTCACAAAAGGGATCCTGCGTGACTGTGCAGTGCCAAGTTCACGAGGAATTTTAAGCATTCTTAATTTTAATTTTCCCTATTACTAGTAATTTTCCATTACTGTTGCCTTTTAGGTTGGAGATCGGATTGTCAGTATTAATGGGCAACCTTTGGATGGGCTGTCTCATGCAGATGCGGTTAATCTACTAAAGAATGCTTATGGGAGCATTATCCTGCAGGTATGGTGATAAATTGAACATGCAGCTGCATGAGAGTAGATAAATGGCATTAGGGGGGCGAAAAAAACCCCAAACAACAAAACTAAGCATCACTGGCACAAGGCATCACAGAATTGCAAGGTGCCTGCTGATGGGAATTACACAGAATGAAAGCAAGAAATAATTTTCATTCAAAAATTCTTTATTGCCATTCATACGGGCTGTGAGCATGATTATTTAAAAGCGTAACAAAGGGAACAAAATAACTTGTTGCTACACATGATAAATCAACAAGCTTCCAAGTTCGTTTGTGTTTTTTTAATTTGAAGTGAACTAGAAACAAGAAATTACATGCGTGTATGCGTGTGCATGCTGGACTGTGACCAAACTGCCCACAGTGTTCATTTCCTTGAAAGGAGGAGGAAGAAAAATTTGCAGCATTTAGTAAAAATGATAGCATCATCATTACGACAGTGCTGCCTAGAACTGATTATTCTCCAGGTAATGATTAATAGCACTCAAGAGAGAGAAAACAGTGTTATCGCTGCCACGTTTCTGCGCCACCGAAAAGGAAGACGTGTTCTGCCGCTGTGGTTCTAATTGCTGCTTGCCAGTCTATTCATCTTCAGTGTATTTTTATGTTTGCACAAAGAAGTGGGAAAAATACTTGCCAGAGAGCATTCAAAACACTATTCATTTGCAGAATTATTGTAACAATTGGAAAACGAGCTTAAGATGTACCACTAAAATCTACTCTGAATTTTATCATCACAGCGTATTGGATTGGAACACATCTTGAGAGATTTTTGCAAACTTCTTGCTTGCATTACAATGCAAATACGACTATAAAAAATAGGAGGAAAAAAGGAAAAAATAATGCAATAAACTTAGTTTTAGACTTGCTTATTCTTTGTTTTGTCTGTCCATGAACTGCTGACCCGGTAAGTGATGAGCTAGTTCCAGAGCAGATGGTGTATTCGTGTAGTTCCATTGAAGTCGAAGGAAATACACAGACACACACCAGCTGAGGGGTTTCTGTTGAATTATAGTTATCATATTGTTACTAATGTTGACTAATTTCACTTTTCATGTCAACGGTATTCCCTGAATAGAAAATGAAAGCTTGCTGCGGAACCCAAAATTGCTAATCTCAAGAGCTCTAATGCAGCGGATTCCACCTCATCATGTATTTAAAAATATTCCCAATGAAGCACGCTGTCAGTTGGGCGCTCACGTAAACAAAGAGATTCTTCTCGAAATGTCTTTGGGTCTGGCAACTGACGGGCTTTCTTCCCCATTTGTGCAGCCTAGCTTAAAATGGCCTTAATAATTTTTACAGATTTATTCCGATAGAATAGAATCTGGTTTTTCTCTACTAAAAATTTGTGACATGAAGGTGGGATGTTCTCTCAACGCCGGCAGAGAGTAGTGTGGACGATACGGTTACCTTTGCTTGCGAGGTCCTTCTCACCGGATTGCACTTTTTTTATTATTAAAGCAATGGGAATGGAATAGCCCTATCGCTGTGATAATCACGGCTGATGTGTCATTAAGTAATTCTGTTTATTATCAGGTTAGACCACTTCATGGCAAACTGCTTTGAAAGGTCAGATAATTGCGTTCAGCGGTGTGGAAAGGCTTATTATCAGCCCGTCCTGGGAAGGATGGTAAAGGAGTTTGCAAATGCTGTTTGCAAATGGGAGATTAGGGTCTCGGGGGAACAATCATCCCTTTCGGCTGTTTTGATGCTTTGGTTTAATTTAATTTCTTTTCTGCAGGTGTAGTAATGAGATAAGGGGAAGCTTTTTTACAAGGTTGTTGAACTCTGATACGTTCGCACTGCCAGCTGAAGATTTTTGAATATAGATTTATTTTGCCTTGGTTTTATTTAACAACAAAATATGAGCAATACTACCTGGTGCAGCGGGAAGGAAAACTTAACGGTGTCTTTGCTGGCCAAGTCAGGTGCAGCTATCTCGTCTGTCGGACCCCTTCATTTAGGGTATCTGAGAACCTGAGTCCCAGGATGCAAAATTTGCATGAGAAGTAATCTTCCTTCCTAGAAAACGCTACCACCCTCTTGGCTCCAAGCGATTAGCGAGTGGGGAAATATTGTAGTGGAAGAATTGTGAGCATTCATTTGAAACAGAGGATTTATATAATGTTGGGGGTTTTTTTTATTTTGGAAAGGTACATTTCCCTTAAGCCATGTTCACAGCAAGGAGTGGAAAAAGTACCTGTTAATTTTGCTAAAATAAGGCCATAGATAGCTAGAGGAAATACTGCAAATATACTTACTGGGTATTTGTCACTGTTTCTGAGCTGAGCTCCTGTGCTATAAAGATCAAGCGAAGAAGAATATCTCATCACAAGGAGATGGAATTAGGGGATAACCACGGCATGTAATTGTTTGGAAATTGATGTCCTTTCAGCTGTAAATACTTAAAATCTAAACCACTTCATAGTGGTTTCCGTGATTTTTTTTTCCAGAAAAAGCTAAGAATATAAAAGTAGCATGCAGTGAAAGGTAAAAAAAAACCAACCAAGAAACAACAAACCTGAGTGGGCATTTCAGAATAATACAGGAGTCTGACTTAGGAAGTTTAAGAATCCAGTTTGTTGCATTCATGCTGGAAATTGCAGAAAAGTTGAAACTAAGTGTTAATTTTTTGCCTGCTCAGCAAGCAAACCTGTCTGAGGCTTTCCAGATCCTTTGTCCAATAGTCCCTTGGGTCTCTGTATTTTGCTAAGGGCTGAGGTGCTCCCTGTGGAGACCTTGTGTTGACTCTGAGACGTACCCATTTCCTCGACAAAACAACCTCTTTCAATTTGACTCTTTCCAATTTGAGAGAGGGATGTAGCTATGAGTCGTCTGAATCCCACCAGAAAGCGTTCTCTGCTCAGTGGAGACAGTAAAAGCCCCTGAGAGGCGATGATGCACCGAGCGAGGGGCTCGCTGGAGCCAGCCTCTAGGGCTATGAAGCGCAGGGGTGTAGGTCAAGAGAAGGCTTCAGAGCAAAGTTTGCATTTAACCCCTGGAGAGGTGCATACTACTAACTGTTATTTAAAAGTATTGAATTAGTAGGATGTTTAAGAGAGTAGTGTAGGACTTGTGTTTGAAATTTGCTTGGGGGGGGGCGGGGGTGGAACCAGCAACTGATTTTCCTAACCTATTGGTTAGGAAAATTCTACATAATTAGCTAATTCTACATAGTTAGCCAAGATGTCTTTGGACGTCACACGGTATTTCACTCCCTCCTCGCTTTAGGTTGTGGCCGATACCAACATCAGCGCCATCGCTACCCAGCTGGAGAGCATGTCTGCAGGCTGCAGCCTGAACCCTTCTTCTGAGCATCCTTCTGAAGATCCCGAGTAAGTCTGTACTTAGTCTGCGTACCTGAGGTGGATTTCCATGCAGGGGAAGAGCCTGGAGTGGTGAAGGAGGTCTCTCCCATTGCTTTTCTCTCTAATTTTCCATCACCTTTAAAAGGAGCACCGTGACCTTCTCCAGGCCGATTGTGGACTCCTGTCCACCTGCTGGCAGAAAACGCTTGAGTAAATAAGCATAAAATGTGTTTCCCAGCACTAGTTCTGGACATTTTTCAAAAAAAATTATCTCCTTTCTTTTCTAATGTGTTATGATAGGTCTGCCCTTGCTTGTTGGCTTCCTTGCCTCGAAGGAGTTACAATCCCAGCAATTTGAAATAATTTGTCATTGGCAGACTAAGGAAAGAGGTGTTAAAAAGCCTGTTGTCAGAGACAAATATTTCAAAACACGTCCCATAACTTTCTTGGTGTTTTGAATCTTTATGATTTGAAAAAATTACTTAAAAATTTTTCTACTTACAGCACTTCTGTACGGTGATGGGTGTTAGAGATCTAGCCGTCCCGTGGCCATGCATCGTTCTCCATCGTGTGCTTTTTAAGGCAGCTTATAGCACTCCAGTTATCATTTTGAGATTTGTTTGATCTTCCTTTCGGTTCATTAGCTTCATTATGTTCTTCATTTTCATTCTTAGATTCATTATATTTATTTTAGGAAGCAGAAATGCAAGTTGCTGCCCTACCTCGGGGGGGGTTGAGTATAAAAGTGAAGCTATTTATGCTATATTCTCTAGTCTTACGATGCGAGATACTGTTTTTATTGCCGCTCTCCAAGGAGGATTGCTTACTTCATGGAAGGATTTGTTTTCTCTTTTCCTATGAAAATGGTAAGGAAATTTGAGTGGGAAAATATGAAGCAGGATGAGGTAGGCATGTGCTTTTATTCTGTCATAAAGAAATGGCTCAATATTAGTCAGCGTAGGCTACACCTTTATACAGGTGGAAGGTGCCAAACACCGTTTGCCCACAATAATTCTCTCTAAATTTGTTAAAATGACTCTTTTAGAAAAATTTGAGAGTCAGCCTCTGGGTTACAATTCACAGGGCTGTGGGTCAAATGTAAGTGGTTAGAAAACAACCCAAAGAGCCAGTAGAAGAGCTGAGACTAAGCATGAGTGTTCCTGGCTGCACCCTGTCTGTTGGACTCACTCCTCTGAAGTCATAAAATAAAATTACGCTCTGAGGGAATTGTTGCAGTTGCCACTTGCTCAGACTAAAGACGACAGCTTGGCCGGCAAGAAAGCAAACTCTCCTTTACGTACGTGCAGCGGCTGCAGATGAGCGGAGTCTCGCTTCTGCATCGGAGACAAGTGCTCTTGTTGAGCTCTTATTAAAAATAAGTCTTTTCAAAGGAAGGAGCTGAAGTGCGCGGATCGGCATTTGAACTCTGGGCTGTGCAGGAGTGTGTTTGTGTGCAAGGGCGAGTCGTGCTTTGTGACTGTGTGAAAACTTCTTGAGAGATAAATTTCTCTGTAAGTGTTCCTTCTGCGTAAAGTCCCCAGAGACAGACATTGCTATTCTAAGTGATATTTATTGTGTTTTCAGAGCACCTCAGCCTAAGATTATTACTTTGGAGAAAGGCTCTGATGGACTGGGATTTAGTATTGTAGGGGGATATGGAAGTCCCCATGGAGACCTGCCCATTTATGTCAAGACTATATTTGCCAAGGTATCTTTTTCTGGTTGTTGTTTTATCCCTTTTTCTGTCTTACCTTTAAAAGTAAAGCTAAGATTTGGCTTGGGTAGTATATTACGTGGTGGAAAGCAAAATGTACTGTCTAAGTACATTGATGTAAGCGGACCCAGAACTCACAGATGGCTTTTCAATTTATATTTCTTTTTACTGATGGCTGAAGCAAGATATGTTATCTCAGAAAAAAAAAATCATTTTTATGTTCAAATATTTATTCAGCCAGGTTTTTATCTGTAAATCTCAAAGAGCCTTCCGAGAGTTATGGAGGCATCACTTTTCCCACTGTCCAGCAGAGGAGGCACTTGCAGCAATGCTGTGTTTTTGTGGCTGAGCTTCAGCTGGAATAAGCTCCTGTGCTCAGGTAGTCACCTCAGTGAGGAAAAAAATCCAGAAAGGTGCAACTGCTATGGCTTGATGATGGGAGGAGAGGGCTTGGGGGTCCCAGCCAGGTACAGCAGTGGCTCTGGCCACTGAGACTGACGGAAAAAATGTAATACAGCCCAGCGCAGCCTCGAGGCGGACAGCCCCAGAATGGCCACTGGTGTGGAGGGAGAAGCGTCCCTTTCCCACCCATCCCCTTGCCAGAAGCCTGCTAAGTGTGGGCCAGCAAGGTATGTCAGGCACAGCCACGTGAAGGGGGTTCTGGAGGGATGGAAACCGATGGGAATTACAGATACTTTCCATAAAGTAACTTGTAAGTCAGTCTCACGCAGCTGCCATCACTTGTGGCAGCACTTCTGGCAGAGCAGATGACATAAGTTAAGAAAACTTCACCTGGAGCTGGAGCAGAAGCCATGCCTCCTCTGCTTCCACGATTCCGGGGCTCAAACCATAAATACTGGGTCTTCTTACAATTTTCATTTATTAACATGGGAAGATACCGTATCTTTAAACCGATGCTTAGATTTGCAGGTTTCTAGATGTGAGCCCAGCTGAGAAACCCTAAATGCAAGCTGGATTGCTGTGGCCACTGGTGGGGCCGTGGGGCAGAAACGGAGCCGACCTCTGGGCAGGGCAGGACTCAAGATTTGGATGAAGGAGCTGAGGCCGTTGTGACGGTTCAGGCAGTCAGGGAGACTTCAGCACTGTCATTTCCCACATCCCCTGCCCAGTTATGGTGGTATTTCCAGTGCTGCATCCCTCCTCATTTCATCCGCCGGCATTACGAGAGACGGGAGGGCTCCACGCTACCGGCCACTAACGAACCGCTTTGCCCTTTGCAGGGAGCAGCTGCGGACGACGGCAGACTGAAGCGCGGCGATCAGATTTTAGCGGTTAACGGGGAAGCTTTGGAAGGTGTCACCCATGAGCAAGCTGTAGCTATTCTGAAGCGCCAGAAAGGAACCGTAACGTTAATGGTGTTGTCATGAATGGCGTTGCGCTGGTGGAGATAAATGCAATTATTTAAGAACATCAGCAGAGCTATAATAACGCTGTTCAGCCCTGAGCGGGATGTAAAGCAAACCCTGGCAAAAATGAATCAGTGTTCACCCCTTTTCCAGAAAGGGTAGTGTGCATCTTGAGCTCCATTTAGCCTCCCCCATTTACCAGCCTTTCTCCCCGCCCTCCCCTGCTTCTGGCGGCTTTTTGAGGCTTCTCTGGACAAGTTTAATTAAGAAACTTCAAAGGATAATATCCATTTTACTTTATTTACACATTGGTTTATCCCCCCCAGCCTGAACCCCAGTTACAACTGCTGAAGCTGGAATCAGTTCGCACACAAAAGAGAATTTAGATCATCAACCGATCTAATCTGATGAGCAGAAATAAATGCTGAGTGACTTGTCATCTCACTCATGATTTACTTATGCTAATTGTCCTTTCAAGTATGCCAGAAAACATTAGCAATGTAATTAAATTACCACTGTTCCAAATGATGAAATATCAAATTCTCCTCTGGGAAATTATTTGTGCTCGGCACAGTAAGTCTGATAGTCAAATGTGAACTTCTCATGTTTATCTCTTTGGGTAGGTCTGTGGAAGTTAGTCAGAGGTAATTACTGTGATGTGTCAATTTGCAGCCTTTAGCATGTAAAATAAACTAAGGGAGAGGGAAATTTATTGTTTTAGGCTTTCAAAAACATTTGGGCCTTTTCAGATCTTTAGGCAGCATGAACCACAACGACCAATCTCATTCCATTCTAATTACATTTCTAAGGAAGAAGTAGCGTGCTGACACGTGCCAGGCACATCGCGTCCAAAGGCGGTTGTTGTTGTGCCAAGCTGCAGCCTCAGTGTTCATCTTGAAACTTTAATGGAGACAAAACTTTCCTTCAACAATGCGATGCTATAATTCTAGCAATGATGGTGAGCCGTCCCTCTGCACGTCTTTAAGACCAGGGGAAGTTAATCCCAACCAGCAAACCCATATACGTTTCCACGGGTCTCCCCAGGGTCAGAGAGGGGCTTTCACGGATCACGGAAGATACTTCTCTCTTGGGGCTGCTGGAGTTCCAGCGTAGATCCCACCAGGCACTGGTGAGATCGCGGTTGCACAAGACCGCTGCCGCAGTTTAAGGTGACATCCTCTTGGGGCTCGCCGCCCTACTCATCCTCCCCAGGGTTTCTTCAGCCCACTCCAGCAAGTCAGACGGCTCAGTCGAAGCTCCCGACTTTGTTCCTGGGGGTTCAAGCTGAAGCCCATGAGGAGCCTTCCCAAGGTCTGTCCTGTTCTGTGCGGCAGAGGTGGGATGTGGGGATGTTCAGCCGCAACTTGCTTGCGGTGATGGTATGACCGTGGCCTTGGTGATTTGCCTTTGATGATGAATTTGGCAGGCAAATTAATGGTGATGCCTGTCGTTGTGGTTTAGTCTCTCTACCCGGAGGAGCAATAGGATTTTAGAGGAAGCAGCCCAGTCTGATTTGGACTGTTTGGTATCATTTATAATGATGATATATCCGGGAGAAATGAAACGGAGAGGGGATGTCAAAATTGGCTGCTCATTCTACGTGAAAAGTCCCTGGAATTAGGTGGAAAGAAGATTTGAAATCTGCCGCACAACAGCCGAGTAGTGCAGCAGTGTTTGTGTTACAGGTCTTGTTGTTCAGTGTGTTTCACTAGAGTAGGTATTTCCCCATTTTATATCGAAAAAAACAAGTATTGAACGACACTGAAACAAGCAAGCTGTGATTAGCTCTCGTTGAAATGGTTTTCCTCATGTCACTGCAACGTTTTCTTTAGGTAATCACAAAGTGCATTTAGCCTGCTGGAACAATTAGTGGGTACGCCGTTAATAGTGCCTGGAAGAGACTTCACATCTTCGGTGGCTTCCTACTGTAGTATTTGATTTGCCAAGTGAAGCGTTAGTGGAACCTCAATTGTAGATGCATGGAAGTATCTCCAGATAGAGCGAATTTTTACCAAAACTACCTTGGGTTGCAGCAGTATCCCAGGTAATGCAGAAGTTAAGTAGAGGAGATGTGATGAGGTACCCTCAGAAATAGCGTATGGAATTTATGAGCAAAACATCGTGATTCCTCTGTCTGATTATTTTTTTTAGAACCGTTGCGTTCCTACTTCAAGATGTTGCCGCATTTAATCTATGAAATTTTACGTGGCTATTTATTAGCCTATAATGCACATACTGTTCATATGCACAAAGAATAGAACTTATGGGCTGAGATATTTTGCACTTCTCACCGCTCTGAATGAGAGAGAACATTTTCTGCTTCTTGTAATTTGCACTTTGTGTATTGAATATTTTACTGCCAAAAATTGTATTGCAACGAATTGATAAACCAGTGACCATGCGGAGAAGCGTGTGCTGTATGTACAGGACCAAGTTAGATAATTAAATTCGCATTACGCTTGTCTGGGTTGAGGTGTTCTGGTTTGTTTAAAACTTTATATCTGTGCAAGGGAAAAAAGCAATTAAACTTCCTGATTATCTGTTTACATATATCGGTAAAATGAGACGTTTTATGACTTCAGAGATTCAAATAAAGCTCAGTTACATAACTAGTTGTGTGTGTATCTTTTTTTGTTGTTTTGTTTTTTTTTTTAATTTAAGTCACTGTTAAAATCTGCCGCGTGGATTGTCTGTTTGCTGTTCCAAGTAGGGCTGATGGTTGCCTGTCTCCGGGAGCGCTCGCTGTAGGAGTGGCGGGAGGCTGCGATGACGGCCAGCTAAGGCTCTGTGTCTGCACAGGAGGATTGCTCCCAACCAAGAGGGACGTGGGGAGCCATCCCGTGCACGTCTGCCACCATCGGGAAGCTACAGCCGCCCATCGAGATGGCTCCAGCCTGATAAGTAGTTTTAAATCAGGGCAACGCCAACAAAACCGGCTCTCGGGTGAGAGACCACGGACTTGGTGCGTGGGGCATGAAGAGCAAGGTGCTGTTACTGTGCCAGGGGAAATCAAAATGCACACAAAGGATGCTTGCAAGAGGAACATCTATGGCACAGGCATCTTGCAAACCTTCAGAGGTGCCACTCGCCACCATTTCAACGCATTCATACCCATAGGAAGGGTTCTTCTGCCTTGGTTTGCATGTCTTGGCTAACTCTGCAAAGAAAAGACAAGTCCCACTATGTTTAGGCGTCTTCCAAAGGCTGAGGTTGAGGTGCTGTGAAGCTCCTGTGTCCTCCCCACCCCGTGAGCCTGCCAGGGACCAGAGTGTGTCCAGGCGTGATGCTCGGTGCCAAGCCCTGAGCTTCACGAGGAGGGTGCCTAGGCGGTGATGTGGGGCACGGAGGGTGGGCTGGCGCGGGTGGCAGGTCAGCCTGGAGGGATGAGGGGGCTCTGTCACATTGTCCTGCTTCATAAAGAATCGCTGTAATGCCTCTGCGTTCCCTGTAATTAATCAAATGGCGATTACCACCCTGGAAGTGTGACATGCATCGAGCCCGTTGAGGTAATATGATTACGCCGAGATGGAGCAGTTAATGTACCTTCGCCTGAAAGAACTGGAATGAATTAATTTAACATTACACGTGTATAAAACATTAGTTTTTACAGTTGTGCTGAGCATTGATATATAATTCCATTATCATCTTTCTCCACGGTTTCACACTTCCACATCCATAACTCAGCTGTATTTACATTCTGGTTAAACGCCGTCACGGTCGTTGTTTTTCCTCTTAGCAGCAATGGACATTTTGTTCTCTAACACACACAATCCTCTGATAACTGGACCTGTTAGGATGACAACAAATCAGAAACAACCACGTTCTGCAGCGTCCCAGATGGAAAAGGAACAAGAATCACCTTGACTTGGCCTTCAGCCTTGTCCAAGCAGGCTTCAAGGTCTCCGCAGCTTTCACAAGTCTGGTGGAGGTAAAGCAGAGTTTAACCCTGATTTCTGCACAGAAAGGAAAATGTGCGGTGGCAGTGTAAAAAACTCTTTATTCCTGATTGCGCAGACCTGCTGTAGGAGCTGTGCCTCTGCAACTGCTTGGGTAAAATTAAAAACCAGATCCTAATCAAAGGAATTGTATCAATTGAACCCACATTTCCCTGGGGTTATTCTACTGTGCTTCCCAGTCGGGGTGCCCTGGGCAGGAGACAGACCTGCTAAACTCGATTTTTCCTTTCCGTCACCTCCTAGGAAACAGGTTTTCTCCCCAGAAATGACACGATGCTGCAGTCACTTTTACAAACTCACCGACGAGCTTCCCCAAGGAGGACGCAAACCACAAAAGAAAGAGATCCTTGAAGATCTCCTTTCTGCTGAAGAAAATGTACTTTTTGAGAGAGTGACTTGTCTGTGTTTTGAATGGGAACGGTCTCTTCATCTCATAAAGCCCTTTGTTGACTTTTCTTTTTTAACACTTTGGTGTGCAGGTACGACAGGGCTATGTGTTGAAAATACACCGAAGTGTAGAAGGTGGGTTTCTCCTGGCGCTCTGAGCAGGTGCTGGTTTAGTTGCAGCAGAAAAAAAAGCTGCAAATAACTTCCCTTAAACAGCAACGCACTATCCTTCCTTCCTGTCCCCTCTGCCGGGTGGGCTTCTTATAGACTTGTTTCGATGCCGCTCAGTGAAAGCCTTCGTTAGTGCTCGCCTTAGGCGATGAGATGGATTTGTGCACTGGAGATGGTGTTTTGCAGCCCAGTCATGCCAAAAAAATCACTTTTCAGCAGGGATGTTGTTTGCTCTGAGCTGCGTTTTGGCTTGAAGAAGCCCCCGTTAGAGGTGACCCCCTTGCTAGCGTTGCCAACAGACCCTGCCCTGCTTTTTCTGCGGGATTTCTTCTTGGGGATGTGCTGACCTGGCGTCTGCTGCTGGAAAAGCCGCGTTAGCCGGTGAGGAGCGTAAGTGGGATCCTGCCCTTCAGAGTCACGTTTAATTCTTTGTTGGGTGCTTTACTGCTCCTGGCACGTACAGAAACCTGCTGACTTGCTGTCTTGGGAGGGGAGCAAATTAAACTGAACAATTTGCGATTATGTGGACAAACATTTGAATATTGCCTTTTTTTAAATTGGGGAGTGGGGTAGCCCACAGGGGTGGTTGCTGTCTACCTTGGTGTTACCCTGAGCAAGATAAAGAGTGAGTTGTGTGTGGTTAACCCCCCTGAGATTGCATGTGCCCGATCTTTAGGTGATGCCTGGATTTCAGTGGTGTGTCAGCAGCCGGTCCTCATCTCCTCCTCCTACTTGATGACCTTAAGGTCTTTTCCAGCCTTTATGATTCCTCCCTGGCTTGAGCCCACCCTGCCATGGTTTTAAAATGTGCTCTTACCTTGCAGACCC